AAGGTGAAGTGACAAACTACTCACCGAGTACCATAAATCCTACATGTATTTTTACATGGGTGTCTTCCCCTGGGAAAAGCCAGGCCAAGGCAAAATCTGAGATTTCCGGATTTAACTGCTCATCCAGCAAAAATATTATTACTAGCTTTTAATGCCTCTATGAATAATCCTTGCAGGAGCTTCATGTTGGGAGAGAAGACCTCTAGCAACACCTGTAACCATACAATATCGCTTTCGACCAATCCAAGGATGGAGACTTCTTTTTATCTGAAAATTTTGAAGTAATCAACTTTAACTTCAAGATTTACTAAATATTCTTCAAAATATTTATTTATACAACCCAGATACATAAAAAGAAATTCCAAGTCAAAGGGGCTATTTTACCAAAGAGGAAGGGCTCACGGCTCTTGTTTTGCAGATACTTATAGACAAGCATCTTCTAAGGACCTTCTGCATGACACCCCAACAACGTCACCAAGTTTTTGAGCTGAATTTTCCAACAACAGTTTCTCCTTGTTAATGAATTCTGAGTCCGTCTTGAAGTCAACGAAAGCTTCTTCATAGACACTTGTTGACCATTTGGCATCAATACCTATAAGAAAATATATATACATTCAAACACAGATACAATCAGATGGACGTTATGGAATACTAGTTTGATAGCCACTGTACAATGTGAAATTAGACATCCAAGCTGCTGGCTTGACATCATTTAATGATTTTGAAATATATGATAAAGCATTGAGGAGACAAGTAGTCTCGAGTTACGTTCTGTAATATAAACAAAGGGAGTACAGCCTAACAGTTCTGCTTCTTATGATCTTACATTTCCTTCTTGTATATGAGGTACTAACTAATAGAGCTCTTGCACCCGTCCTTCAACCTCTCCAACTTAGTTGCATACCTCATTCTAGTATTGAAGAAATTTGGGCCCTATTCCCTACAAAAATTAGCCTCAAAACATTTAAGTCAAATGCTGATCCTACAGCTCAAAAATGCAAAACAAAGCCATACAAAAGGTTCCCAAATTTAGAAAACCCTCCACAAAGGATTTCATTGTGAGAAAGGATGATATATTTACCAAACTCCGTCCTTCTTAAGTTAATGGAAAGAAAAATAAAGCCCAAAGATTGTTAGAACTTCCAAGCTATAATAACTTCTTCACCATATTCACTGCAGTATTCTTGGTGTGTACCTTTACCAACTGTTATTAATACCCCGCACTAACTTCCATATCTAATTGTTCATTACTTCAGTGTGATCTAGCTGAAATAAACCTGATTTTTGAAAAATGATTGGCATCGACTGTCAAGGATGCAGCAGCGTTCGTTTCTGTTTCAAACCCAATTCCTAGAATGGCTACGCGCTTATATTTATCACACACAAATAAAGCAATTGCTGACTAATAAGCAGGCTTCAAACTGCCAATCTCACCAACCAATGTGAACTAGGCATCAGAGATTCAACTAGACCAGTCAAAACCTTACCCTGACAATTTGGGTCGGCTATATGAGTCATATATTGTTATTCATTTCTATATGGGGCTTTTAATTTCATCAGTTAAAACTTAAAATATCACGCCGCCTTGACAATCATTAATACAGCATGTCACAGAACACACTACAATTCGTCACAACCTGACCACCTAAAACAGGTAGATGGAAAAAAAGAGAGAGCATATCAGAAAGAAGACCAACAACATGCTGTGCTCTTCCAGTATGAGTAAAGGATATGCAAGGACAACTCTAAGACCATTTCAGAGATAGGGAGGGAAAACTCTGACAGATATTTTAGCTGTGTAGGCTATATGTTCCAGGCACCATTACTGCTTTGAGAATTATGAAAAACAATGAGTTTCATAAAATGCGTTGGGCCGAAAAATGATGATGTCAGATGTATTACCCTTCCCAGGTGGATTAGGTTAGGTGGAGACTTGGACCAACTCTAGAGATAAAGAGAGAGCGATAATAGTATAATGAAACCGCTTCTCTCTCGAGATTATCTCGATGTAGTCATCTTTTTTTGGAGCTCTTTTGGATGTAATGGAGGAAAACTGTGTTAAGTGTTTCTGCTGATGTCTTCAAAGCAAGCATCCTTCTAATGATCAGAATTGAGTAAGAGAAGACAAATGGTTGATTTGTAGGATAGCGGTTGATTCAAACGCCCGAGCTTCTTCCAGCTCAACCATCGGGATTCCTTACCTTATCAAAGCGTTGTATTTCTAAATTCTCATAGGGCCCCCCCGGAATTCCTTCTAGAGCCTGTTGAATAATTTTTATGGATTCTTTCATTTCACCGATTCGTACTAAATAACGAGCTAATGATATAAATAGGCAAATGTTCCTTGCCATTAAGTAAGTGAAATAGATAGTTCATGACATCCTGGTGCACGATGTACCTGCGACCCTATAGTGGGTCAAGATGGTTGATCTGATGGGATTTCTACGTGTTGGTTTGTTGAGAGACATCTTTTGTCGAGGCCTACCCCGTTGTCCATTGACCTGTCTCGGAGAGATTAGAGATATTACCCTTTGAATGACTTCTCTCTGAATTTCCCGTTATTGTCTTGTTGCATTAATTGGCAGTGATGCCTCATGTATTTGCCACATAGTCACCTTATATAGCTGTTCTACCACATTAATTCACCACGTGATCCTGTTGTGATCATGAACGTCATAGTTCTAATTGTCTCAAACTAGAATGTGCTAGGCCCATGTGGGGTTCCTGCTCCTTGCTCAGGTTGTGTACAACAGTACAAGGTGTATCAGTCCGCCTCCATATCTTCAAGAAAGGCTTATCTGAAGAGAAGAATTATTGCTACTTGCTACAATATTTGGGTGAGCCTTGTCTAAAAGAGAATGTCCCTGCTAAAATCTTCAGACGAGGCTTATCTGAGAAAAAGTCCTAACAGTGTCTTCAGACAAGTCTTATAAGAAATGAATAAGTCCAGGGATAGTCTTTGAGCAAGATTTATCCATAGGAAAGAGGTCCTCAAAACAAAGTTTTAGTACAAAGAAGAGATCATTTTCATGTTTTTTGCCCAGCAGCAAAGCTTATCTAAGAAGACGAAGTGTTCGTGAGGTAGGTACCTTAGGAAGGAGACAGCCCCTCATTAGAGATCTCTTGCTTAATAGCTTCCTCAGTACCCATAATCGATGAGCAATCCTTCACTTAGAGTGGAATCAAATGGATAACTGTTTAACCTGAAAAGTAGGTGGATAGTATTTGTAGAAGTAAAAAATAGTCAGGAATGATAATTAAGAAATGTCAAGATCCTTCGCAGTACATTTGCCTAAACCTTCTGACAAGTTGTGCCTATGGTGATACACATCAGCTATCACATCATCCATTCATGTCAAGCCATTGTGTTGTGTGCGGATGCAAGTGTGGACTGGAAATCAATGACCTACATGAAGAAAATAAATCTTCTAGGCAAAGATATTCTAAAGAATGAATATAATGCACATATCATCAAGAAAATTATGAAAGAAAAGTTGCAAGTGTAAAGTTAGTTTGAATTCATTCAATCATGAGATACAATAGCAATAACAAAATATAGTAGCAAAACTAAACACCACCTAGTACCTACTACATTTGTTTCAACAAAAAATGTTGAAAGGAATTACTGATAGACTCAGCTAGGGGCCAGTGTCTAAATTTGTGCAAATGTGGCTAAAACATGAAGGGACCACACAAATATATTACCAAAAACTGCTAATTATTAAATATTCCCACAATTGAAACATAATGGGCAAACGCGCATAATATAGTTACAAGGAGCGAAGATACCAAAAATTACGTGAAAGAGTAATGCTATACATTACGAAACAGCCAAATGAGGTTAAGATGACATCTAGGCACCAAGGTTCCATTGTCAACTCCAATTGTGGGGAAAGTTTCAGACAGATAATACTGGTGTGCAACAAAACTATTCTAATCATATTAAAAAAACATGAACCACAGGAATAGCCACAGAAAATAAATTCATAGAAAGGAAAGGTAATGTGTCTCCTCTCACAATGATCGTAGAACCTCCCAGACTGCAGCTATGAGGAGAAAAGGCACTGATAATAGTGTAGATGATTTTATATATACATACAGAGAGATAGAGGGGGGGGAGGAGGGATGTGTCTAAAAACTACAATGCAACGCAAACTTTGATGCTTCCTTGAACGGACAAGAATAATTGATTAAATGAAATTCAGAAAAGAAAAAAAAAAAAAATGAAAGAAAAAAGAAAGAAAAGAAGAAGAAAATTAAAAGACAATCAAGACCTGAGAAACAAAATAAACTGGAGGCCCCAATTTGCAATGTGCCTGACACTAGTTTGAACAAATCTGAAGCGTCCACCTTTAATTGTCCAAAAATGTGCAGAAAAACAAATTTAATATGGATTTTGTTATCAAAACTCTCATGTCTATAAATCAGTTTGAAAATTTTAATGAATAAGGAGTATACAACAATGGAGTAGGACTTGCAGAACAAAGCTTTTTTACATAAGCAAAGCATCCTAATACCATTATATCAAAATAAAATTAAAATTTATAACAGGGTCGACCAGAGCAGCAATGTCATTGGAAGGCAGGAATAATGGTTGTTGTGGGTGAGCAGCAATAACTGGCAACAAAAATGCAACGGCTGTTGGGCGATGGCATAGAAAATCTTTTTCCCAAATCTTAAATCAAAAGATCCAATTAACTACGTAGTAAAAGATAGCAAATGAGTCAGAAAAGAGGGAAAAAAAAAATTAGTAAACAGAAAACAAGAAAAGCTATAGAATCAAAAAGAATTGCTTCAGCCAGTAAAAGTTGTCAAATGCCTACCTGCAGATGGAGCTAAATGATAACTTATTTATACTTCAAATTAAAGTGAACTAACTTTATTAATTTACGTCCCAGCAATGGAGGTGGAACCAAGTTGAATTTATATAACTATCCAACTCAAGGAACTTTTGAACAATCACACAAGACATTTGTGCTACACCCATAAGAACAAGAAGATTTAATCCATTATAAGGGAAAATTTATAAATTAATAACAGCTTTTGCCAACAGTGTACAACGAAGTGGGTGTCATCACACACACACACACACACATAGTTCAATAAACACCTATGGTTTCATTCTTTTTAGTATTTTTTTTTTCAATGAGTATTCTGTCCATTCTCAACACCTAGACCATACAAAACACCAGCATACTTATCAAGCGATCCACTAAAGAAATTTTCTTGCAACTTCCTGAAAGTACAAGATGTGAGCAAACTATCTGAACCCGCCTGGTGACTGACACCAATTCTCTCAACTTCCAACAATTCCGCAAGCTTGTTCAATCCACCATGAAGGCTATTGCAAAACTTCATGAGATGCTTGATGTCATAAAGGTTGGGGAAGTACATATTGATCAAATCGAAGAACTCTGTTTGTGTATCGGGCAAATTCTGGCAACTCAATAGCTTGAGCAAGTACCCAAAATCATATCCACTATGAAAAGTAACCCAATAAACACTATTATTCAGTACAATCCCTGATGACATCAAAAGTTCTCCAAATCGTTGCGCATCAATACCATTTTCATTGTTTTTCTTGAAATCAATGCCGCTCTGGCGCAAAAGCTCAATCGAGTCATTGGCAAATACATCCTCGTTAACATTGAACTCGCGAAAATTAAATTGCCAAATGCAAAACCTATCGGTGCCACAGGTGGGTAAATTCCCTTCCTCATCCGAAAACGTAAGCCCTAATTGAATCAATTTCAACATGTTCACATTATCCTTCAACGTCTGGTAATGATAATCACTACTGTTTTTGAAATTTCCCACGGGACGAAGAACAACTCCAGGAAACTCCGTATCCATCGCAATATAAGGAAATTTATCCACAATTTCGCGAATCACAAGAAACTCTTCTTCGAGATTGTCATTCCACACTTCTCGAATTTGAATTGAATCGCTTTTAGGAAGAATTGACATTTCTTACAGTACGAATGAAACAAAACAAAATTTCAACAAAAAATTGATTTTGTGAACAAACCATACACAACCAAAACGTCCAAACCGTAACGAATATCCACTGAATCCTCTTGATTTCAAAAAGATCTGCAAAAAAAACAAACATAATGAGCTACAAAATAAAATCAAATTTCAAAAATCAACAAAATAATAACAAATCAACAAAAATTAGGGTAAATAGACATCGAACCTCGCCTACAATCAACAAAATTTGAGGACTTGAATCATAGATCTATTAGTCAACGGATAGAACGTGTTTAAACAGAGGAACAACGATATTTATACAGAGAATCGGGATCGAAAAGTTAAGGCCTGAACATGAATATGTATTATAGGGCGGCGAAGGGAGAGAATTCTAGGTCAAAACTGGGGATACGTATTATCAAATATCTAGAGTTCTAAAGAGAGGGAGAGCGCGTTAGAGAGAGAAAGAGAGAAAGGGCTTCGAGGGAACGCGGCTGAGGGCCCTTTCCTGCTTACCTCCAATCGAACATTGTAGAGAGAGGGAGATAAAGACAAGAGAGATAAAATGGAAATATATATAGAAATAATTTAAAAATATATGTGCGTGTGACATGAGAGAGACACTGTGGTGGTGAGTGGAAATTAAAAAAATGTGTGTAAAGGAATTTGAATTTGAATTATCATTTTCTTATTTTTTATGGGTGGAACACAATATTTGGAGATATGTTTCGCTTTGCCTCGTAAGATGTTGATGGAGACCGGGGACCACCGGATTAGGGATGGCAATTTCCTGATTCGGGTTTCAACTCCGCCTCTTACTCATGGAGCGAATTTGGTAACTCTTAAATAAATTTGAAATAAATATAATAAAATAATTAAAATTTTGAAATGGGTTTAGGATAGAAGTGAATTTAGTAATAAACTCAAGCCCGTCCCGATTATATATATATTTTTAAAATTTATATATACATATACTTACATATTTAATATTTTTAACACCATTTGTTATTTTGTTGTAAATGTTAGTTAATATATTAATATTCACTACTTAATAATTTAAAAGTCGGGCCATCTTATTTATCAGTCCAATTTGAGCACATTAGGTTAATTTTTTTTTTCTAAATAATAAAAGTACTATAACCCACCCCGCCCTTACAATTAAACGCAGTACACGGGGCAAAGTCGGTAATTTGTTTGCAGAAGTAGGGACGATGATGGTATACTAATTATAAACCCGTCCCGAAGTAATGACGGAGTTAGTATAACGAATTTTCTACTTGGGCGGAGTAAAGTTGAGCTAACTCTGTCCCGTTGCCATCCTTACGTCGGACTACTAAGAATCGACACTAGGTCATTTTGGAGAACACGAGGTGAGTTGTGAAACGGGTGGGTACGTGAGTTTGATTTTTTTGGTCGTGAGTGAGATTGCTTCTTTTTTTTTTTAATCTTTTATTCTAACAAAGAAGCTCAAATTCACACATTATTAGGGTCTGTTTGGTATGCGTTTTATTTTTTGTATGTTTTCTTTTTGTTATGCATTGTAGCAGTGAACAATAGAAAAAACACGTTTAGTAAAAACTAATTTGTTTTGTACAGTACCGAAACGTTTTGTGAATAGTAGTCAAAAATCGAAACACTAATTATATGTTTTTGCACTGTAATATTTGGTACTATAGCGATTAACAGTAAATTTGTTTTTTTATAAAAACTTTGAAATGATATTTTTAAACTAACCATTATATTTTTTAAACTTGTAATTAGGATTGCAAATGAACCGAGTTGTTTCGCTCGGCTGATTAAAAGCTCGACTCAGGTTCATTCATGCAGTAAACGAGCTAAGTTTGAACACATTTTTTAGGCTCATTTAGTAAACAAGCCGATTTTAAACAATGCTGAGCTCGGCTCGTGAACAAGCTCGTCTAGTAAGGTCTATTTTTTATTATTTTTATTTTATATACATTTAATATAAATTCATTCCAAACTTACACACCTTTCATAGACCACCTCATTTATTTTTTATAAGCCCAAACTCAAACATGTTTATAAGCCCAACTCCACTTAACCTTAAACCCAATTCTATCACACGCGTATCTTGGTATCAGCCGTTGGATTACTTAAACAATTTCTTACATTTGTGAGAAACCCTAATTTTGTACGGCCTAACATCTCTTTCAACGATGCAGCACTTCCCTTTCAAGTTTCAACACAGCGTCACTTCCACTCTTGCTGGCCGTCAACGGTGTCAAACAACAAATTTGTCTCTATGTGAATTTTCCCTCTTTGCTTCCTGTCCTCTCTGATGATGTATCATCACTGAATACAAATCCAGATGCAATGATTTTCTTCAAATCAGCGAAAGAGATGGAGCAATTTTCTTCAAATCGGTGAAAAAGATGTAATCATACATAGATTTTCTCAAATCAACAAAGAGATCTAGCGATTTTCTTCCATATTTGTGACTCTATAGATCTGTAGGCTTTTTTTTTCTTTCTTTTTTTTTTTTAAAGGCAAGCCCGAACTTGCTGAAATTTTGACAAGTCAAGCTTGAGCCTGGTTTGACCAAGCTCGGCCGAGCCCGAGCAAACTTCTGAAATTGGCGAGCCAAGCCTAAGCAAGGTAAAGCTCATTTTCAGTCTTACTTGCAATATTTTTTTACCAAATACATTTTCTGTTTTTTTTTTCTCAAAAATCTTGCAGCTAATGAATGTTACCAAATATAGTTCCGACTTCAAAACACTTGTTTTGTTTAGGATTAAAATAAAACGCATAGCAAATAAGCCTTTAGTAAAAAATTTTATTTTAAAAGACTAATTTCAATACACATTAGAATTTGAACAAATTTCACATGAATAAACCCCAAATCACTTGGTATGATACAAAATAAAATTTAGCTCTCGGAATAGATTAAACTAAGATTTGGTTATAAAATTTAGCTATCCGAATATATTAAACTAGGATTTGGTTAGTATATATCTAATATTATTATTGAATAAAAAATCAAATATAAGAACAAAATTATAATTTATCACTATAAAGAGGCTAGAGCGAGGTGACCTTTTTTCATCTCCTCTCGTAAGTAGCGGGTTTTCAATCCTAACACATCTCTACTCAAAACCATTTAACCACCCCCATAATCATTTTAAATTGGGGCTAATGAGGTGGGGCATTTTTGTATTTTTGGCCCTTATAAATCGGGGAGAGGGGGACTCGAACACGAATACACCCACTTAGATAGTTGGGCGTTCTACCAACTAGCCCACTAAGATATGAAGCACGGATACATATACGAGGTGTAGATACGACACGATATGAACATGGCGACAAATCTCAAAAAAAAAAAAGGTGTACGTGGGATACGTAATTTTTTTTACTAATTTTTTTTGTAATATTATGAATCTAAATATAATCATTAATATAATATAAAAATTTGTTTCGCGACGCATAAAACAAACATTCTTGGTCATCGTTTAATCAATAAAATAAGTATCTTTAGACTTTAGTCATCACTTAATAAACTTTACACTTTTTACGCTAAGTTATTATTGTTAGAAAAATTACATTTTAATGTAAAAAACATATTAAAAATGTGTTATAAAACATGTGACAAATTTTGGATATGACAACCGAAATATATGAGAAGTATTGAATATATGTTATAAATTAAAATATGTATTTTAAAATTATAAATGCATTTACAAAGTATAAAATATATAACTGCAAGTATTTGATATGGATGCCTTGTAAACGTATCCTAGCAACTAAGTAATACCCAAGCAACCCAAGCATTTGGACTATGGTTTTTGCCATCCCTATTTTATGAGTGATTTTTTTTTTTTAATTGGCGCGTGAGATTGACTGTGAGTCTGTGATACTCTATGATGCTCAAAACTTTCAACTACTAGTCAACTACCGGAATTAATCTAATAGTAAAGCCTAATGTTTGATATAATGGAAAAGAAAAAAGAGAGACGAGAGAATATTGTTAGTTACTTATTGTGTTTGGTTGATTAATAAAGGAAAAGAAAGAAAATGATAGTAATTATGTTTGGGGAGAGAAGAGAAGAAAACTAATGTAATGAATTTACAATCATACATTTTTTCATGGAATTTTTCTCTTATAGATATAAGGGCAAATTTAGTATTAATAAATTTTCATTCAAAATATTAGTTTTCTTTCAATTTCTTCCCATTTTTTGAAAGAATAACAAAAGTTAGTGTTTATGCTTTAGTCTTTCCTTCCAAACCCCTCCATTCCCCCCTCCCCCTTTCCATCCAATATTTTATACCAAATACAACTTTTTCCCCCCTCCCCCTTTCCATCCAATATTTTATACCAAATACAATTTTTTATTTTCTTTCATTTCCTTTATTATCTTTTCCCCATTTCCATTGTACCAAACTAAGCCTAAAGGAAAACCTTGAAATAATTTTATGCGTTGGTAAAGTAAATTGTAAAATATCATTAAATTATATGTTACTTCACCCATTTAGTAGCAGCGTGCAATCTCATACTTCTTGGAGTGCTAGTCTCGTGCAATCAACCCCATCTAAATGTGCTCTTTGATAAATCTTAAAAATAAGTAATGGAAATTTTGAGAGTTTAATTTAAGTGTAGGCATTTTAAGTAATAATCATAAATTAATAATTTTAAATAATCTTAGATGTTTGTTAAAAATTACAAATAAATTAAGAGGTGTTTGAAAAGACTTAATACTCAGTAGGAGCGGAAAAAAGGATAAAAAAAAAAAAAAAAAAAAAGGTATAGAAGAATAATAGAAAAAAGTAATGCTATTATAAAAGTTCCTCTTTTCTTAGTGAGCTAATAAATTAATTGGCTCGTTAAATTTTACAGGTCTTAATAAATTATTTCAATTAAGAGAGCCTCATGTCAATTGCTATTCGAGGGCTCTCGTGATAAGATTTTTTTTTTTTTTTTAAATACACTACTCAATATGAATATGATTCTCACGGGGGCAATTTTGTCAAATTACACGTAAAATAGGGTTTTTTAGGGTTTCATACCCGCCCTCCATTTAAAAGCCCAAACTTCGTCTTTCTTCTCTGTTTTCCTTCGCAGACTGCTTCCGTTTCCGGGAAAGTCATCGTCATCGTCAAAGGTAAAGGTCTCTCTCTCCCCCCTCTCTAACACACACACTAAAATGTGTAATATACTATCTGTAACCTTCAGATTTTATAACTCTAGTAACTATGTTGAAGATCTGGAATATTTATATGCTCAGTGCGATTACAAAATGTTTTAGGATGATTATAGTATTACCTTGTTTTTTATTTTTTATTTTTATTTTTGATAAGTAGTATTACCTTGTTTTTGAAGTTTAGCCGTTCCTTTCTTATCTCTGATTTTCCCCTTCTTCTTTCAGCAACAGGCTCGGTGAAGGATTTGAATCAAGAAGGAAAATGGCAAGGTATGTAAATATGACTACCTAGGAATACACACCGAGATTATTTCATTTATTTTAGAATTGTCATGATCAATGGGCTGTTTACTACTCTGTAAACTAAACTGTTGACAAGTTATTCACTTTATTTTGGGGTATATCTCATAGTGGACAGTTGACTTATCAAATTACACAAATAAAATGCCTCCTTTTATTTTTATTTACTTTTTTCAAGATCTGTATTGCATTTTAATTGCATTTGTATTTTAAAGCATATGGTATTGTGGTTATAAGGCTCCATTTCTTTTTACATGAAACATTTTCTGAAAAATATTTTCCTATTTTCAATATTTAATTGCGCCTAGGGTGTATTTTATTCCTTGTATCATAGAAGTGAATTTTATGGATCTAATATCATGTGAATTATTTTATGCTTCTCTTGATACATTCAATGTTTTGTTCTGTTTTGTCTCAAATACCAATTTTAAAACCCACGTTCCCGTCTTTCTTTCAATCCGATAATCCGATCTCAGGGCGATTTTTAAGACTTCAGATTTGGTCTCTACAACTCTAAACAAACCCAACTTCATTACACTATGCAAATTACTTCAACAACTTATGTTAATCTTTCATGACTGCAATTTAATCCAATTAAAACTCTTAATAATCAATTCAAGGTATTTGAGATTGGAGATCTAAGTCCTAGAATATCATCACTGCTTTGTTAGTCAAATTTGTGTCAATTTCAAAATTTGGTAATTGTTCAGAGCTACATCATAAAGTGTTAGGTTTATTTGATTGAAGTAGTAATAGCAAGAAAAAATGCCATTTTGGTTTCTTTTCTGTGCCCCTTACCCAGTTTTTGCTTGTTCTTAAGCTAATGGCCAAAAGCCCACCACCATTTTCAACCTAGCCAGCCTCTAAGTACTGTTATGTTATGTCTGCAGTTATTATGGGGAGTTATCTGTCCATTGATTGGTATGGCTGAAGGTCTCTTTACTACTTCCCAAACTTTGCTGTTGGAATGGTGTGGCTGAGATGAAAAACAAAAGCTGTTCTCTTCGCTCTCTATTGTATTATACAGTTCACTTCCCTCCTCCCCCCTTCTCTGTTGCCTATCTCTTTTCTGTTTGCCTCCTTGTTCTGTTTTTCAGAAATTGTTAATCGGAGTCAATACAAGCACTGAAAAGTAATAGAAACATTATTTTACATGGAATAATTATGTTTTACCACAAAATAACAAACAGAGCTTTAAATATCATAGTTTCTTCCTCCCCTCTTTCTCTCCCTTGGCTATCTTTGCTTCTCTCTTATTATGTTTGTTGTTTATATGAAGAGAGTTGTTCTCAATTTCCATTATTTTCCTTGTTAAAAGAATTTATTTATTCAGATTTCAACATTTTGCTTTTGCAGTGAAGATGTTGTTGTTGCAGTCGAGACACCTGCCCCAGCTCTAGGTGAGCCCATGGATATCATGACAGCTTTGCAGCTTGTGCTGAGAAAGTCACTGGCTCATAGTGGGCTTGCTCGAGGACTTCATGAAGGTGCAAAGGTGATCGAGAAGCATGCTGCCCAGCTCTGTGTACTGGCAGAAGACTGCAACCAGCCAGACTATGTTAAGTTGGTCAAAGCACTTTGTGGTGACCATAATGTAAGCTTGATAACAGTTCCAAATGCTAAGACCCTCGGCGAGTGGGCCGGTGTAAGTAATAGCACATCCACAATTACCAATTCTGTCTGTCTTTCTTTTATTGTATGATATTCTTACTGTAGTTAAATGGTATAAATATCTCTAATATAGTTTATGGAGGTACATATTCCCATTGTAATCTTAGATGCGCAATTTTTTGTTTGCCTTATTACCCTAGTGAGACGTTATGTTATCCAGACTCTGGTACAGGTGCGTGTCTAGAGGTCAGATTCATCTATTTTTAAATTTATAGGATTGTGGACTCGGTTAAAAAGAGTCCAAGGATACTTGAACATATGTTGTATAGACAAAGGACATGTAACTCTTGATTCTCGTTATTAATGTAAGTGACATTCTTACAGAGGGCATGCTTCAGTTCGTCCCTCTTAGCAAAAGAAAATTTTAAAAGAGCAGGTTTAAGTACTAAACATTTTAGGCCATCTATTTTATAAGTAATAGAGTAATAAACACTTTTCAAATAAATAGGAAATTTGACCTCTTTCACTTGCATTCTATCCCTGACCTAACAACTATCCTGGTTTTGGGGAGGGAATCACTTGCTGGATCGAACCCATGGGCAGCTCTGTCCTGTCTTCCGTTTAAAGAAAAGAAAAAGGATAAGAAAAAAGAAATGTCATTAGTTGCATAGGTCAACATTAATATATTAATTAAACAATTAGTTCTAGTCTTGTAGCAGCAGCCTAAAAGATAGGCATAAGAAGTAGTCTTGTGGACGTCAAAAAGATAGAAACACACGGGTCAATGTAATAAAAGCGCACAGCAACAGAGGAAATGTGGCAGCAGTATGACTGTTAACTGGGCATGAATCCAGACGTTGAATAGAGATCTGAACAGTTTTGCAATGCACGTGAATTTACTCTTTGGCCAGGCGCAGAGAATCGTAGAAAATCGTGCAACTGCTGCGCATGGGAAAAACTATAGTATTTAACCTTTAAAAAAAAACCCTATTTTCGAACCAAAAAACCCTATTTTCGAACCAGAGACCTTCACAAGAATCCACTGAAAAGGTATTCCATGAGCATTTCTTTATAAACTGTGTCGGATAGATGTGAAAGGGTGGCAGACCCATATCCTGTGTTGGTGTCTACATGGATACTGGGTCATTCAATCCTGACACACTGGGTTAACACGGCGAGTCCTGTTTACAGAGGTGAGACATCCTCTTCACTGTTGCTTCCCACTTTTACCATCCTTTTTTTTTGTTTTGTTTTTTCCTTCCTAGTTGGTACTCACACACACTTGTCTCTTCTGAGACTTGAATCTCCTGACCTTCCTTTGGGAAGTAAGAGACTGATACCGCTAGGCCACTGGCCCGTTGGTCACTTTACCATCTTAATGAACTGTCATCTTAGTCTGAGCTTCAAAATACTTTTGCTTACATGAGATATTTTAGTTGAATATTGAAAAGGCTAATTGTTCTGTCAGCCACTAATGATGTGAGCTAGCAGAATTCAACAACCGGATGTATTTTGATCTAGCGACGTTCTATTGCGAAGTAACAAATTAAATACCATCCCAGTTTTCTCTAAAAAAATAATAAATCATTAATATTGAGCTTACCACATAAGTCATGAAATCCGTAAATCCAAATCTTCATCCAGTTATACCAATTTTATGAATTGGAAGTCAATGTCAAGTTGTCGACTGTTTTAAGTGAGAATTTTGATCTGCTTATGCAGTTGTGCAAGATTGATTCAGAGGGCAAGGCAAGGAAGGTTGTCGGCTGCTCATGTGTTGTTGTAAAGGTAACAATCTTAAGCAATAGAGACTTCACGTTACATTTGCTGGTGTAGCTTTTATTTCTACTGGTGTACACTAACAGGTAGTTCACTTCTGGAATTTGCTTCGCAGGATTATGGGGAGGAAACTGAAGGTCTCCATATTGTTCAGGAGTACGTCAAATCGCACTGACTTATTTGCAATTGATCAATATTCAATGTTGCGTGATTTGGTGGTTATATGTAGAAACTGTTCTTTTAGTCTGTTTGAGAATTTTCCCTTTAGAAATTTTTTGATCATTTGAGAACCTATACTTCTATAAACAATATTTTCATTACCGCAGATTTGTCCTATTTACTTTTTCGTGTAAGTTACTGGTTCTAGAAAACAAGTGTTGGTTAATGTTACGGATCCTGAATTTTAATTAATTTTCATTCAGTAGAAATGGCATCTTGATTAAAGAAAAATTCATGTCTGAACTGTTATAATTGGGTTGAATTCAGCTTATAACCTTTATGTTCGTATAAAATTTTCTTCAATATATATATTATGTTCTGTGTACTCTGTAGGATAATTTTCCTCAAATTTAGGTAAAATTGTGACCATTAAGAGCCCAGGCTGAAGAAAAGCATACCTATAATATCTCCATGTTAAACAATATGTTCGAACGTTTAGCACGAGAAAACTGAGCTTGCTTTCTGTAACTACCGCTTGAGCCAACCACAGGAATGCTACTTCTAGTAATAACGCTGGTCTTGAGAAAATTAGATCCAGCTCTTATGTTTTCTGTGTGTCGCTGCCTTGCTGTTTTAATTTGATTTATAAGTCGGTTTCCTTCGAAAATTTTACATTGCTTCTAGTTTGACAGTTTATTGTCTCAGGCATCCCTGTTTAGCTACACGATATGATGTGGTTTTTGAGGGTATTACTAGCTTCTCTGCCGTGGGTTTTCATTACCTTCAATTTGAAGAATCACTGACTGTTTCAGGGTACAGAAATTGATCCACTTGAATGGAATTGTCAAAATAATGTGTGGTTTAATCTGGTTGGCCTTTTGATTTATTACAATTTGGTAAAAGGATTGATGCAGAATTCGAACTTGTAATTTCTAATAATAAGTACAATTGCATGCATATAAAAGGGGCAATACAATAAATGGCAGAATTTTTATTATTTCTTGGTAATGAAAAAATCAGTTCTCCAGTGGATGGTCGGGCACATTTTTCACGAACATTTCTATTTGAAACATATAAGTTGTTTACAAAATGAATCTGAAGTAAATTAATGAGAGTTTGATTGTCAAGATCAAATTTGGGCAAAATTTCAATTCTAATAATATTTATACGATCTAAAAGTACACTTTCATCCCTGAAGCCCCAAGGTGGTTCTCTTCTTTTTGTTACCTAATTAGAGGTGTTTTCAGCATGATTAACATGACATTGTTACTTATCTCAATTATTTAAACTAGCTAACAAGCCAATTAGAGATGTTTTCAGCATTCCATAAAATGAACACATCCAAATAGAATCTGCAACATTTTACTTGTAACTAATGTGAAAAAACACTCGCATATGTTATGTGAAAAAGAATGGTTAACTTCGATCTATGAAGCCATGCCACAATCTCCAGAAATTTGAGATTGAAATTTTTTTTATGACCAAAGTCACAGCAGCGTATTGAAATCTGGATGGACAGATGAAAAGTATAAAACTATCAAATAAATGGGTTAATAGTCGGTACTTGTAATACGAAAATTGATCAAGAAAAGATGGTTAAACACATAACCATGCATGAAATTCAGAATTCACTATGCTTACTAATGCTTAGATTCTCCTCGCAGATGAGAAGAGGTACAGCTAGCAACATTAGGAACCAAAAGCCTACACGCTAGTTTTCAGGGATCTTGAAATTTACGCAACTATCACTTCTTCTGGGTAATTGGGAGGTACACACCCTCTGCCGCTAACCAAACATTATCAGCTCGCTTCTCTCTAGTACCACAAACCTGCAGAATGTACAAGAAAGTTGTAACACTGACAATCTAAATGGAAGAACATGAGTTATTTGATTCAAATGAATGAAAATAGTGCCTGGAAAAGCCAATAAAATGCAAACATTATAAAAACAACGGGTCAAAATGACTTGTGTTAAAATACCCCCACACACACACACATATATAAAGTCAATGAAATGGATTGTGCATTATCTGTCAGAATGGGAACCTTAAAAGTTTGATTTTGGTACCACACAAACTCGTGTGTCGATCCGTTGTCCCCCTTGTTAACTGGGGTCCCACAAGATCCAAAGAAACACACGTTGATTCTCTAGTCTCAAAATGTCAATCATCACATTTGGACCTCATCTCACAATCAAGACATCCTTGGGATGTTTTATGTTCATCATACAGAAATAGAAATGTAGAATGCGGCCATTCTCACACAATGTCAATCATTGCATCTGGGCTCATCTCTTGATTCAAGACAGTGGTCTCTTATGAACTATCATAGGGAGAATGGGATATGAAGAATGTAATTGGAAAAGGCAATCTTCATTAATAGTTCCAAAGATGCATCCTTGAAAAAACAGAAGATCGGGAGCACATTTAAATTACATTACAGAACTAAATTTTCACCTCTTGCTGACCCCCAGCTATACGGGAATATTTCTTATTGTGACTGTGTAGGTAACCACCTGTGTCCACATGATGAAGCCTAATTCTTTGATCTTGCCTCCAAGTCTTCCCACTTCCCTCAATTTCAAGTCTAACAAAAAGAGAGAAGAAAAAGGGAAAAAAAACTATCAGCCAAGCAAGTAATCGAGATTTATGAGCAATTGAGCATAGTTCAAGACAGATCTACGTCTCACCTCCAATAATCTCCAGTATCAGATTCACCATCTCCTCCAAAGCAACTCACCTGAAAACATTTTATGCAGGATCAGTTTCAGTATTTCAAGGCTAAAATTCCAAATGAGTCCAAGATGAATTGAATACATAAGGCCAAGTGAATTTGATTTTATGTTTATGACAAACGATTCAAGGGAAGACATGCAATTAACCAGATAATAATGATTTTATCAACTTAGAACCAGTAAAGCAAACTCACCAAGCAGCCCATCTCCCGAAACAACGACACGACGACGATGAAACAACAAAACAAATATAAAGATGTAAGAAACATAACAAGGCGATATATAGTAAATGCTAGAGGCAAAGTGGCTGTCATCTTCAAATTTTTACAAGTGGTATTGTTGCAACATGAAACGTGTTGTAGTGAACATTAGAGAAAATGGCTGCTAGTTTAAGTTCCTAAAGCACAGACGGTCATACGATGTTTCAGGCTGAGTGGGCATGTATTGCTGTTGTGTTGCACTTGGCAGTTCAAAGAGTCCACTACTTACCCCATATGGGTGAATCACCATCCTAAGGCTCTGTTTGTTTCGACGTAAAATATTTTTAATGTAAAATGAGTTCCATGTAGAATTATCTTCTTTAGTTTTCAATGAACATTTGATTCTCATTATAAAAAGAGTAAAAAGAGGATTAGACTATCACATAAGCTTGATATGTCGAGCAACAATACTTACCCAGAACTCAAATGCCACACCCCTCATTTATACCTTCCCAACAGCCTAAAAGAACTAATATTATATATAAACACATCTTGCTTTAGCACTGTTATTTGCTCTCCTCGTTTGTAAAATCCTCCACCATTATAAGCACATATACACTGTTTATCTTCACTATCTCTCTTCGTGTCCTTTCCTCTCTCTCTCTCTCTCTATCTTTCTAACATTGTAGTTTCTCTCTTCTATTGATGTAATACTGGAGGCGAAAGGAGAGCCTCAATGAACAAAGACCAGCAGAAACCACAGATACAATTCCACCTAATGATTACACAGGGAACCAACAACAAGCTGAGACACAAAAAAAAAAACTCCACCTTGAGTGTACAACAGAGCCGAAGGCAGCCGAGATACGAGATTGTCAAATGACTCACCCATTAAGTTGTTTTTGTTAAAAGGCAATAAAACAATTTACAACTAAAATGTTTATTCAAGATCTGAATGCAGCCAAACACCGAAAAATACGGAAATGTTTTATGAAACAAATGGAGCCTAAAATTCAATATAGAATATAAATGAGTTCAAATTTGAGCAGAATATGGAGGGAAAATTCAAAACAAAACAATGAAGACTATTTCAAACTTGGACAAAAAAGAAGGGAAAAAGCCAAGTTGTGAACCTCCAAGTTGCCCGAAATTGGAGAAGCATGCAAATGGCTATGAAGCCATCTACGAGTACTCATGTGTTGCAATCTAATGATTGTTCCAATTTTGATAGTGTCTCCTTGTTTTGCAGTTGTGTCTGGGTCAGGCCTAACAATCTGGCAAAAGAATTTCCAGTCTAAATTAAAAATTCATACCCAACCAATAAAAGAATTTCCAGTCTAAATAAAAAATTCATATCCAACTGATAATGTGAATTTTTAACCAATGCATTTAGTTAAATCAAAAGATATTAAAAAAAAATTAGAAACGAGTATCATCACCACATACCCAGTAGCTATTTGAATCATCTACATTAGGGAAACCAGTGACAGATTGCTGACCGCTGCCAGAGCCATAAGGCACATCATGGGAATGCAACCTGAATTTAGTCTTTTCATGCATCAGCTTAATCACTGATCCATAAGTAATCTGCCAATACAGATCAAAATCAAAGTAAAAACAAAAAAGAATTAAGAATGAGATTTCATATAAACAGGTGACCTAAATTAAGCCTGCATCAACAACACCCTCTCAGCATTTGGATTGTAAAACTAGCAACATCTTTCCATATCATACAAAACTCCAAGCACTCAAATTTCTACAATATTAACATGTGATAAATATGATTTAACAGAGTCCTAATTCACCCAACTGTGAGCAAAACAAAAGAACCCAAAAAAAAAAAACTCAAACAAGTTAACAAGCCCAAATGGAAAACCATCAGATCTCACACAATTCAAATGATAAATTGTGATATTTTTTGGCCCTCGACAATCATCATCATCGTCCTTGCCAAATAATAATAACAATAAATAATGAAAAAGCGAAATAGAAAATTTTCATAATTGAGACATTCTTTAACCCCTCAACAAGTAATCCAAACCGGAAAAGAACAAAATAAAATGAAAAGCCAAATGGTAAACAATGAAAGTTCACACTAACCCAATTCAAGAAATTCAAATTGGGGGGCTAAGAAACATATACATACATACATACATATATATATATATATATATATATATAAGTAGTAGTTACCTGGACGCCTTCAGAAGGAGCAGCGAAAACAGGAGTGAATGTGTAATGGGAGTGGAGGGATAGGAAGAGAAAGAGAATAATAGAGAAGAAAGAAAGAGCCATGAATAGGAGGAGGGACCGACCACTATGAACCAGGCCCAGGTCAAGATCAGAATTTGATGATGATGATGGGTTTTAGAGTCTAATTCCAGAGTCGGGCACGAAATGAGGGTTCAATATTGATTATGTTCTGACGGAGCCACTGTTGGCGGTGTCGGAGCTCCGGCAAACAATGCGGGTGCGGATGTAATAAGTTTCTTTTTATAGTTACTGATGACTTGACTTGTTTGAAGCCCACGTGGACGTAAAAATTAGAGCACACGTGGAGGTCTAGTGACGTGGATTGTGTTGATTGGAAAAGGTGCGTAGATCTCACTGGATCTTCCCACGTGTCCAATAATAATCCAGTCAGCACTTTGAATAAAGCAAGAGTTGACCAAGAGTTTAAAGAGAGAGTATTCAATGTTTTGTGCGCAACAGTCTTACATGCTACAGTAGGGATCCAAACGCGTGATAATTGCAATACGCGTGTTCACAATATAAATCATGTGTTTGGATCTCCACAACAAGAATCTTGTGCACTCCAGCAAATTCTGACCCTTCAGTGAATGAATGAAAAACATTGAACTCTAAATTTTTTTTTTTGAATGAATGAAAACATCGAACTCTTACATTTTTTTCATCATTGTGTCACATTCATGTATTTATAAAATAGTGTATGATCATACTTACTAATTTGTAACAGTTAATTTTAAAGCAATTGGACTATGTTTAGTTCAAATTTGATTAATTGACAAATACAATAGGGGGATACAATGTTAAAACAACTTATTTTCAGGGACAAATAATTAAAGAGATTTTATTAAACTTTTAGTAGTTATTTTTATTTATTTATATATATATATTTTTTCCTCTTCAAATGCTCAAAGGCCAAGCCAAAACAGCAGTACGGAAACATAAAGCCAAGTCAGAAAAGGCATACAAATCTTGAAGCATAGATAAAAATGAAGAACAGACTCTATATTTGGAGAGAAAATATAGTCCAAAACTCTGTAAACGGAACCAATATGGGAGAACGCAGCAAACAGGAGAGACCCAAAGGTCTGGCCATCATCACGGCAATCGCTCCAAAGTTACAATTGTTGATGACCGCGCCACGATAGCTGACTAAGTGGCGCCACCTCGGCAACATAGGCACAACTGGCCAATGTTGACCTGGCGTGCCCGCGGTGGATTAGGTATTCTCGAGGTACCTATCCAATGACGGAACTCACTGGTCGAGGAAGGGGTCGCTACCCTTCCTCTACTGTGGACGCGCCCCGCTCTAGTCGGATGGGCTCCTCCCCCCCCTGGCTCGCTCGAGGGTGCTCTCTGAAAGAGCAACCTCGACTAACCTGTGTACACGCTTCCCTTCTTGGCAAAGAAGACCTCGGGATAAAACCGGGATGGGAACCTGCGAGGTCATGAAGGCAGGACCTCAAAAGAGGCTTATCCCCACTGAAGCACGGGAATTTGAGGACATGTGGATAGGTGGCTGAGATCTAAGGGGTCGCCTCAGTCCGAGGCCAGCACAAAGGGGAAAGGATACCCGGTATCTTAGAGCGATAAAGGATAAGTAATGCATTAATTGCGAAAGACATTTGATAAGACCCGCATTAATTAGGGAGCGCCGCTACCTCCTTTGACCGGGGGGCAAAGCGCCGCTACTCATCCATCAGTGTCTCATCCGTCAGAGGAAGAAACCATTAAACCTGAGGATAAGAGCGGGCTCAGCTAAAGGACCAAAAGATATTGACCGAGGAGGAAAACACTATAAATAGGGGTGTAAATCAGCCTTAAACACAACACAACCACCACATTAACACTTATCCTCTGACAAGCTCGAGGTTACACGGTACCGAGGTCGGCCTTCCCTTTCTTAATCTTCATACTTAGAGAATCCCTTGTGTTGCTTGGATCTCCACTTGGATACTGATCTCAGATCTCTTGGCTTACGTGGAACGATCTCCTCATCCTACTCACGAACCATCATCAACATTTTGGCGACTTCACTGGGGAGGAGCGCTTTGCATATGTCAAGCATACGGGAGATCAGTCCACCTTCTCAAACTAGCCCTGCTTTAGATGAGGGCTATAACGGATCAGTGAGTATGCCTGGGTCGTATTTTCCTGGGACCAGGATTATCTATCCTGATGCCCTGGTCGAAGCTCACAATGTTTTATCTCATAGAATGGAGCAGTTAGAGGGCACGCAAAGAGAAGTGGTGACGTTGTTGCGGGAGATTGTTGATAGAGGGATACCTCGACGAGATTTAGGCCCAAGCAGTGTCCCTTTCGACGAGTTTGCTGGGGAACACGTGATCCCAGAAAACTTGACACGACATTCGCTCTCATCATCAGCTGAAGTAAGACGAGCCACTGGCCGATGTAGACGGTCATGAGAAGCGCCGCCTCAAGCCCGTCGAACTCTTTTCAACACTCCCCTTACGGCACCTGCAAGGTTGAGTATACGGAGCACCAACCGAAGAGAGGCACGGCGCGGGAATTGGGGATCAGAGGAGCTTGGATGTCAACAAGATCTCGCGCAGCGGTCGCCGTATGTAACTATGGCGGATTTGCAAGTACTGTTACGAAATGAAAAAAACATGCTGATGCAGGAAGCGGCTCCCGAACCACCTTATGCGCAATCCATTGCACTTCTCCCTTATCCCCCGGGGTATCTGACCCCTAAGTTTAGCAAATTTGATGGGAGGAAAGGAAATCCGCGGGAGCATGTGATCCGGTTTATTGAAGCTTTGGGGCCCTTTGGAAACGATCATACACTGCGACTTAGAGAGTTCACAAAAACTCTCACAGATAGGGCCTACAAATGGTATGCGAATTTAGAGTCTGGGTCGCTCACTACCTGGAACCAATTAGCCACGATTTTCCAATCGAAGTTCTTTCAGGCGGAGGAAAAGGTGACTACTCTCTCTTTGACTAAGGAGATTCAGGGACCTGGTGAGGACCTGCTTACGTATGTCCATAGATTTCATGATCGAGCCATGGAATGTTACGAAACCCACGAAGAAGAGGCACTGGCCAAGATATTCATACAGGGCATGCAGGGATCCTACCGAATCCATCTCATTAACTTAAAGTTACCCATCTTTGTTGATTTAATAGAGGCATTTCAGAATTTGGCAAGTAACCTCGCTATCTGTGCACAGGGCGCTACGCAAGAAGAGTACCGAGGCAGACGTAGACCCCAGGTTTCGGCTGCAGATGAGCCAAACAACAAAAGGAATGCGAGGCCAGCTCGCGCCCCTCGTACAAAGAATCCGGACGAGGCACCTCCTCCATTCCCATGCACCCCGGAAGAGGTGGAAACCATTCTTAAGAAGTAGATCTAACATGGAGATATCAGACTGCCTGAGGTTCTTCGTGAGCCTACTGCAGAAGAAATGACTCACCCTAAATACTGCATGTATCATCGACATACTCGCCACCCTACCTACGATTGTTGGGCCTTGCGAAATACTTTCCATAGACGGATTGCTAACGGTGAACTCATTCTACCTCCCAGGGACGTGAGGGAGGAACCGTTTCTTGCACATGACTGAGGGGCTGCAATGATGGTCTCCGGCGTAGCAAATGATGGAGAGCGAGTCGAGGAGGATGTTTCCTCCCCAAGCAATGACTACCATCAGCATGGGGACAGTGTCGCCCAGGTCGCGCTGGTAAGGGCGAACGATCTCGATGCATTCCGATTGCTGGAAACCGCTCCAGTAAAAAATATCCTTCAGAAGATGGATTTCTCTCTTCTTGCTCAGAAAGAAATTGCTAAATTCCTGTGGTTGGCGGCGAAGGAAGGTGTAAAGGAGGTCGCGTCGATCACATCGCTCCCAGTACCTCAGAGATCGACTGGTTTGGCTATAGTCTTTACTGAAGAAGACAAATGTGTTCCTACACCGCACAACAGGCCATTGTATGTTACGGCCTCTCTTAATGGGGTCGAACTCAAGCGGGCGTTTTTTAACAATGGTTCATCCCTGAACATCATGCCGTCGCTCTGGATTACTGAGTGAGAAGCTTATCCGGAAGTCGACTGAAATTGCCGGATTTGGGAGTCATATTCGGAGAACTGAGGGATATGTGACAACCGAGTTGGTTATTGGAAAATTCAAAGGCCCAGTTAAGTTCCATGTCATTGATTCAGACACTTCTTATTATTTACTTATGGGTCGCGGTTGAATGCATAAGTCTGGAATTGTTCCATCTTCGTACCGCCAGTGTATGAAAGGGTTCTGGAACGGGAAGCAAGTAACGGTCCGCTGCTCTGATCGGCCGTTCACCAGCAGGGAATCTCATATGGTGGAGGCTGCATTCTTTAATGAACTAGAGGAGGCGGAAGAACCCCAACCGTTGAAGGCCTTCTCTCTGCCGAAGTGGGAGGCCATCGACCGACAAGGAAGTGAAAAGATGCCAGGAGCAAATACCAGTCAGAAGGGGCCGGTCGTTTACAAGAGAGTACGTCTAGCCAATGGGAGGATCGCCTACCGCTTATGACGGTGTTGAAGGGCACGATCTCAGGCGAGGCCGCGACCCCGTGTGGAGACATGTCATGCGGAGTCTCCTTGTCATGAGAACGAGGTTAGAATGGAAGCTGAGTTTGTTCGGCTCACCTAGGGAGAGCTGGAGGAGGTCAATCTTGCCACTGACGGTTGTCACCGGATGGTCTATGTAAGCAAGTAGTTGGAACAAAATGAAAAGATAACATTAATAGCCCTACTAAAGGAATTTGAAGATGTCTTTGCCTGGACGTACGAAGAAATGCCAGGATTGGACCCTCGGGTAGTGGCTCATCATCTTAATGTGCGACCAGACGCATGCCCAGTCAAGCAAGCGCAAAAGAGTTTTCGACCGGAGCTCGAGTTACAAATAACAGAGGAGGTACAGCGGCTTTTGCGAGCCGGCTTTATCAAACCGATTCAGCATCCTACGTGCTGGCAAATGTGGTCCCAGTAAAGAAAAAGAATGGAAAGATCAGGATTTGTGTTGATTTCAGAGATTTGAACAAGGCATGCCCTAAAGATGATTTCCCGCTCTCTATGATTGATAGTTTGGTAGACTCCACCTTAGGGCACGAAATGTTCTCTTTCATGGATGGATATAGCGGGTACAATCAGATCAGAATGGCGCCGTGTGATGCCGAAAAAACGGCATTTCGTACCCCCATGGGG